GTAATTTGATCAAGTTATTCATAACATTTCAGCTGACGCCTCTCCCTAGAGTTAGCGTGACATTGCTATTTGCAGAGGATAAATGCATTATAGGATGGCCCACTGCTAGGAAATTGAGCATTAATATTTGCTCTTGATGTGATGTATATAAACAGACAGATTTGCCGGCTCTTGGCTCCTCTATTGACAACCCACGAGGGACGGTGGTTGAATAGTTGGGGCCGATTTGAAAGACGGGAGATAGGATAATAATAATAACAATTCATGTTTGTGTTTTTATCTGCTGGGAAGGATGCCTGCTGCTTCCCGTCTCGGCAGTTTGCTTCTAGGTGAGGTGGTTGGCAGCTATCAGCGGGGTCCTGGTGGCACATCAGTCGTCACATTGCGTTAATTTCACTCAAAAAGCATGCAGATGCAGCCGGAGAGGGAAAATGCAGATGAAAGCAGCGGTAGAAGGACGCACCACTGGGACCATCCCTGGAATTTAGTCGGGCCTGGTTAAATCGATGCAGCCATTTCCCTCAGAACACCAAAACCTGCAAGGCGCTGAAAGCATTATTTCTGAGGGAAGAATCCCCCTTTCAAGGCTTCCAATCTCTCTGTGAATCCATTCAAATACAACAATAAAAGCCAAAATACATCACCCATACATAACAGCCTTCCCAATGGCCTATGAGGAATAGAAATCGTTCAGTCCTTGGGACCTACACGCTAGTGTTGCTTGCTGCATTCTACATTTTCCATTTAACACAGCCTCCTGAAATGGCATCCCTCAACAAAGTCACAGCGTTAGCTTGGCCTTGCAGTGCAAATAATGCTGTTTGACAATGAGGTCTATTCTGGAGGGATGCAGTTTAAAGTATGTTGGAGTGCACAATAGCTTCAAGGCTAAAAGGCTAGCCTGAACTAACCATCTCTCATCTGTGAAATGGGTGTGTTACAGGTGTTGTACTATAGTTCAACTTCTGATGTGTGTTTATTAAAACAAAAAAGTGACAAGATCATTTAGATGCTGAGGCCCAGAAACTTTATTAACATGAATTACAGAGAGCTGAGAATTGACTGTGACTTGTATTTGCATTAGAGCTGAAACAATTAGTAAAATAATCAAGTAACTCAAATAGATACAGAAAATAAATAACCCTTTAGTCATTTTTCCACCCAAAACTCCAAACATTCACTGTTTCAAGCTTCTCAGAATGTAAAGATTTGTTACTTTTCTTTTGTCATATAGGATGGTAAACTGAATATCCTTGGGTTTTGGACTGTGGGTCGAATAAAACAAAGTATTATCCCTTAAGCTGTGTGAAATAACGGGTATTTTTCACCTTTTTCTGACTGGAAGGCCTCAGATCTCATGGGTTCAGGCCAGCTTCTGTCATCTGAAAGAGGTAGCCAGTGGAAGCTTCATATCCTGTGCAGATCTTCACCTGCTGTGCTGACTTTCATACTGTATTGCATGTACTCAGATACGTGTCATATAAATATGATTTCTCCACTCACAACATGCTATCCAAAACCTTAGGGAGTGTACAAAAATTATTAGTGGGGTTGAGGAGGCCAGAAATGGAGGAGGTTATTGTACGTTTTCTTCTGGCTTAAGGTAGAATAGTCTGACTTTTTTGGGGGTGAGCAGGCTAGGGTCTTTCTTCTTCTTCTTTAATGCTATAATTCTTGGCCGAAACATGGCACAGATTTCACGGTTCATAAAAATGCGACACTTCTGTTTCAGTATGAGGCTTTTATTAATGTGTACATTGGTTGTGCACATTAGAAGTTCCATTAAGATAATAAGGTCTGTTATGTAGGACTAGATGTTAATATCCCTTAATTGCACACGTGAGACATGCTGCCTAGACTCTGCAGTGATGGTCAAGTGAGTGATGGCTTCTTCTGGGATATCAAGTGGGCGCCCTCTTCCCTCGATGTTTCTCTGATAGGCCCACAATGCCTATAAAATGATGAGGCTACGAGCAAAAAGCCATTAAAAATGGCATTGCATAAGTAATGACGACTGTCAAAAGATACAAACAATGAATTGTGTGATGATGCATTTTATTCTGTCTGGGGACTTTGGTTATGTCATCCCTGTCACGCTCTACTGCTCGAGTATTAATAGCAAAATTGTCAGAAAAAGAATCTCAATAAAGAGTGGTATGTTTTGGGGCTCTTTGCTTGATTGACAGATGTTACAAGCTTAAACACTCAGCCATTGTGGTTACCACAGCTCCATCGATCCGTCTATCTTTCCATCCATCTATTTTGTGCTGCTTATCCAGGTCCAGGTCATAGTGGTAGCAAGCTAAACAGAACAGCCCAGCCATCTTCCTGCTCCTCCTGGGGGACCCTAAGAAGTGCTCCCAGAACAGATAAAATATAAAATACCATCATTCTGGGTCTGTACTGGGGTCTCCTCAGGGAAGAATCCTAATTAGATGCCCAAAAGCACCTCAACAGTCTCCTTTCAACAAGAAGGAACAGGCAGCAGTTGGACTCTGAGCTCCTTTGAGATGTCTGCGCTCCTCACCCTGTCCCTAAGGGGAGCCCACACACTGTAAAAGAAACTCATTTAAGCTGCTTATATTTGCGATCTTATTCCTTTATTCGTTACTCAGAAGTCATGACCAGGGGTCACTGTAACTGAATATTCTCCGTCATTGTTTTGTTAACAATGACGGAAATAAATTGAAAGGCCCCCCATCATTTTGACAGATTAAGACTAAGAGCAATCTACCATGATGTTAAGTATTTCACATGCCACACTGTAGTCCCAGCCCGTCCTCACCAAAAAAACAACTGTATGGGTTGCATCTTATTATGACCCATATTTATTGTTACATTTGCATTTATTCGTTTAGCTGACGCTTTCATCCAAAGTGACTTACAATTGCTTTACATGTCACAGGTCGGACGCCTCTGGAGCAAGTGTCTTGCTCAGGGACACAATGGTGGATGTGTCACAGTGGGGAGTTGAACCTGGGTCTCTCACACCTGAGGCATGTCTTACCCACTGGTCCATCACCACCCCATTGTTAGGCCACGGGCCTCTAGCGGCCATATGACAGTAGCAAAGCAAGATGTCAGGTGATGTAGGATAGAGTGTGGAAGTTGTAAGGATTTGGATGGGGTGGGTGGGTCAGACTCAGGACTTTAACACAGGAGACTGGTGTTCGAAACCACTGTTAAATTAATTCAGTGTTGACTTATTTAGCTTTTTAAGTTTAATAGCACTACTGACTATGCCAGTTGTAACCCATCCACAATGTTTTCCTAAACCTAACCAAGTAGTTTTATTGCCTGAACCTAACCAAACTGCGACTGTTAACCATGTGTTAAATGTCATGTGACTTATGTAATGTAGTTGAGGTACAGTACGCCTGTTGGTGGACTAGGACTTTTCAACAGTTATATATGTTGTTTTTGGATGCATTGACAAATTACCTATTTCGTCATTTAGATATGAGGACCTGTTGTGTATACCACCTGTAGTAGATCCCCTGTCCTGTGGGTGGTGCATATTAATTAGCAATTGCCTAGTAGTCTTGTCTTTGATCGCACATGCATAACCTCTTTGTCTAGCTGGCTTTGGCCATCGCATTGGTAGGTTATATTTCCACATGCGGTGGATCCTCAGCCAGTGCCAGCTAATGTTACAAAGAAAGCAAGTGGCAGCAAGGAGGTAGAAATAATTCTCTGCTTTACGTGATGACATGAAAAGCGTCTCTGTTCATCTTTTCTCTGAATGCCTTTTTAAATGCATAATCTGCAAGTTCTGTGTATTAAATACTATTGTGTTAGAATTGTTTTGAAAATGAAATGCTATTAAACATGCAATATGTCTTATGCAACCCCTGGCCATGACCATAGGTGAGAGTTGGAACACATCCTGATAAATTGAGAGGTTCACCTTTATGCTTAGCTCAGTCTTCACCACGACAGTCCAGTACAACATCTGTATTACTACTCTATTGTTTACTGAGCAACTCAGAAAAGCTCAATTGTATTGCACACTTGAAACAAGAAATTCCCCAAGCACAGCGACAACAATCAGGTGCTGGTAGATAGCAGGATAAGTCTATGAAAAATCAAAAAACAAACTACCACACACTGGTCTGACTTTACTACCTTTATTGTGAGCAATGCATTAAGCTCATTGCTTCTTCAGGCTCACATAGTGTGATGTTCCCAGATCAGTCTTATGCTACAAGGCAACAATGTATAATTTTTTCCCTTGTCCAAACCAAACAGAACTACAGGAATGAAGGCAACCTTAGATATATCCCTCCTGCAATAATTATGTGCCTCCTCTAATGATCGTGTGCCACACCTGGAGGATCGAGAGTCATGCAGTCAGAGTGGACACTGTTATTAGGGTCTATCAGCAGGATGTGACATTTCAGCGCTTGTTCAGAGAAGGGACAGAAAAAATGAAGATATCAGAGACAGAAATGAAGATATCACGGAAAGTAAGGAGGTGAAACACATTGAATGCTTGAACGAGCAAGACAGAAAAGAGGATGGTCGGGGGTTGACGAGAGGCTGCCATTGTGTGAGAGAGAAAAAAGAGGCAAGATGGAAAGACGAATAGAGGCATGTATAGAGGGGGTGAGAGAGGCTGAGGAAAACACATAAAGGGAGAAATTACAGAGATGGAGGGTTGGAAGCCAGAACAGGAAGAGTCAAGCAGAGAGCATAATTTGTGGGACAGAAATGGAACACTGCCCACTGTGGTGCCCAATTCTCCGGTTTCTCTCATAGGGCTAACATGTGTACAGCTAGTGTCCAATTTTGTTTTAGTACACATGGATCCCGTCCTAAAGCCGACACGTCAAAGAAAATGAATTACATGACATGTTGCTTGTCAAATTGTGTAGATGGAGACTGTAATGAGAGCGAGGTCCAATGGTAGATTGAACTTCCTGATTGTCCCCACAGGCTGCAATATGACCTTAAATTGCAGAGAGCTGACCAGCAGGCTTTGAAGTAATTGGCACATGGCAATGCTTTCAACAACTCTTCTTTATTAAATCGAACGCTAATGCAACATTACATTGGTTTTTGCCATTAGGCCAGCGAAGCAACGCTGCCTTGTGCTATCAATGCTAATAGCTCTGTTGCTCATTGGTTTGATAGATCAGCCCATAAATATGGTCCTCCATGTTGCTCTCATTACATTGCCCAGGTCTTCAGAGTTGTGTAGGATCTAATGGGTCGAAGTGAAGTGTTGTTTAAGTGTTGTTACTTCCCATCAGATGCCAGCTGCATCTCTAACAACCCTCTTAATACATCCCACTCGCGTTCTCTTCTTGTTGTTCAGTCGAGTTTCCGTAAACAAGCAGAAGTGAAGTTGGGGAGGTGAAAGTCTGCCCGCCGGGGGAGACATTCTCTGAATGTGAGGCTCGGCCTTTGCAGTGATGCCTGGGAATTCTCCAAATTATTGTAGTCACAACAACAGAATTTATGCAGGTGATGAGTTGTGTCCAGATCCTCTTGCAACGTTTTGCGGCGCTGAGGTGGCCTGTTAGTTATAAAAGGGCATCCTCGTCAAACTGACATTGAACCCCTGAAGAGATGCCATTGCACCACAATCACAAAGTGAATTGTAAGGTAAATGTGTTTCTTAAAGGGACACAGTGGGAATATTGAGAATGGGTTGCTAAGGTCTCAACCAAACAGTATCCCCACCCGCCCCCTCTCTTGAACAAGAAACACGTGGCTATATTTGACAAACTTATTGTAAAAGTTGTAATAAAGAAGTGACATTAAACAGCTTATTACTGTAATAAGAAGGAACATACTAGCAAAGAGTCCTCACTCAAGACAATTTCACATTCCTGATGGTTGAAAACTGCATTTGAAGGAAAACTGTTTTTTACTTACTGTTAGATGACAGAAAGATGTATGCGCAGAGTTTGACACTTGAAGGCTGTTTTCATATTCACTTGCTGAAGGGAGAAAGGTTAACATGTGCACCTAAAAGCAGAATTTTGAAAATACTAGTTTGAAAGTCAGTCATGAATTTTCAGTAAAGTAGGAGACATAGTGGTCCAGTAGTTAAACTACTAGTTAATAGTTACGACTGGACCGCCAAAAAAATATTGTTTTGCATTTTCATACATGGAACTTTTTTTGTGGAAAATAACACATCATATGCAAATTACTATTTCGAGGAGAGCATGTCTTGCATCAAGTTTTTTATTTATTTATGAGAGATGCAGAGAGAAATCCTATCAAGAGTCAATAATAATTTAAAAAAACTTGATTAATGTTGTTTAAAAACAGGTGAGGTGTCTTAAAATCAGCACCTCAGCATCCCTATTTCCTACAGGTATGAAGAGAAACAAGCAGATACTGTGCGTACTGTTTGTTGTGATTAAATAGTGATGTTAATACTGATCAAACCCATGCTCACTCCCCGACTCTTCACATTTGGACTCAACGCACTGGGGATCGCTATAGCGTCATGGTTCAACACAGTGGTGGAAGCCCTGTAGTGTCAGTTTTTGACGGTAAAGGTAGGTATATGATATTTAACAGAAAAGACTGCGTAAGGAGGTGGTTGGGCTGAATGGAGGGCCAGAACCTGGACTTTGAACCAGGAGAGCGGCGTTCATGTCCCGTGTGAAACAAAAAGTCAACTTTAAATACTTTTATTTAAGTCAGGCAAGTGAAATTACTGACATGCGTAGGTATTTTGACCCAAACCATGATCTTTTCCTAACCTTAACCACATAGGTTTGTTGCCTAAACCTAACCAAGTCCTTTTTTGTGTCTAAACCTAACCAAACTGCAACGTTTCACAACTTTAATAATGTGCCGTTTCAAAATCGCGATGTTTCGAAACGCTAGCATTTAATTTTGAAAATGTAACCGGACATTGCATATTTGTTGTTTCTAAGCGTTGCTAATTCGACCGTGGAGCCGTAAACGTCTAAAAATGACACAAAAGGGGCAACCAGGGCGTTAAAAAGCGTGTTGGTGTTAACAAGTGAGATGTCACTGCAGTGTAGAGGGTATGCGTTGATCTCACTTCCCCTTCCGGAACACGCTGGACTGAGAGGAAAAACTGTTACCATGGCTGCGTTTAGCAAACCGGGAGTAAAACGAGTGATTATTTGCTCAAATTAAAGGCAGTTGGACTCAACAGTGATCCTTACTGCCTAACAAAGAACCAGTGGGCCAGCTCTTTCCCATTTTAGATGAGTTGTTTGTGTTTTAGCTGATTCAAGCTAACACTGCTCGTCTTTCTGCCACTCTCAGTGAGTGTAACTGCTTTCTGTGACATCATGCACATACCCTTTATTGGCGACTTCCTTCTATGACTGGGATTAGAGTTACCTTTAAAACAAAGGTAACTCTAGTACTTTCTACCATGCTGTGTATAGCACTGCCAACTAGCTCAATATACTGAATTCTTGATGGTTCTGCACATCAAAAGAGATATATATTGACCTCCTTAATCTAAAATAGTTGCTGATTCAAATGAGGTCAATCAAATCCTAATAGCTTAGCTGAATGGTAGGTATTAGGTCATTAAATCCTTATTATTCCATACTTCATTCATGTTTTTTTTAAAGCTATCCTCTTCTCAGATTTCCCGTGATTACAGTGGCAGGAAATTATATGTCACTTTTTTCTTTCAGGTACCCCCTGGGCAACGTTAAAGTTTCATTACATATAATAAGTAGTGATTTCAAAGGGTAATGTCATGTTAAGTAAAATAAATGAAAAATGTGAGCGTTTTGTGCTGAAACACCTTATCTCTCGGGTCTTTGCAATGTGCTGTTACATAGTGATCCCACTTGATCTCATTTATGTCTGCCCATGGTGCAACAGAAACAGCAGCAGGGCAATAGGGAGGAAAACATTTTTCAGCAGCCAGAAGCTAAAGACATCAATGCGTCATGCCGGACAATCTGTAACTGGGAAACAACTGATCTGGGATCTGAAACCAAAGCTTCAGTCGCTGTGTATGCCCCATTGGGATTGGGGTATGGCAGGCAATTTAAGGGCAAAGGCTCTGATTGATAAGGTTGCATCTCCCCTTTGGCATAATATCAATCTTATATCAAACCCAATCGCCCTCTTCTCAATCTCCATTGAACCATGTGTGTCTATCACCAACTCTATCTGGACCACATGTTGACTGTTGAATTGATCTGTGCAGGTATCACACAGAATTTGTCTGGGCTGTTTTCTGTATATATGCAATAGCTGACGGTGTTAGCAGGTGGGAGTGGAGCAACACAAAGCATGCTGACCTTGGATGAGCAACCTTGGTGGATATCATGTGAACATTTTCATTCACACACTGCAAAACGACTAATCGACAACAAATTGTCAAGCTACACTTACATTTCTTATAGATGATCTGTGAAGAAATTAGCCCTAATCCAAGACCATCCTAAAATGTAACACGGTCCTAGATAGCTTGGTATAAATTGGTTATAATATGACACTGTAGAATTTGTTACATGAAGGATATTGATAATAGGATGTCTCCAGATGACCCATGTAATGTCTTAATGACTTTAAAGGTGAAAACAACACAAAGTCTACAGCCATGCTAGGAGCTCTGTGAGGCTGTATATGAGCTAATTAACATTAAACACAAACTATAGCTTATAACTATAGCTTCTTTCTAAACCTCACTCAGTATTGTGATGTCAGATATTGAGTTTATATTGTAACTTTGCTGTTGCACACTTCATTATTTGTTTATCACAAGTCATTTCATCATCTCAATATATAACAATCTTATCGCATGACGCAGATTTTCCTCATATCGTGTAGGCCGTTCTAACGCCTTAGTTCGCTTCATTTCTCGTTTGGTAGGCTGAACATGCAAAGTGGTCAAAGGCTTGGCTACAAGCCAAAGATAAGGAGAAAGAGAAATGCCATTTATGATTCAAGTTAATTTCTTGAAAGGGGGGAAACGCTGCAATGCCAAAGCATGTCAACAATGCAGCAGTAAAAGGAAAAACTCACTACCTTCAACTGTCTTTAAGTCGGAAAAGTCTTTCCAAGTCTTTCCAACAACTCCAAATAACAAAAAAGTATTGATAATGGTATGGATAAAGTTTTTTTTTTTATTTAGGCTTCTTTTTGGTTCTCCTCATACATCACTTAATACATAATATTGCCAGGTTTGGATCTGTCATGATCAGTGTGATGGAACATCATTTCCATCCGGAGCTGGTGGTAATTTAGAAAACTCTTCAATTAACTTCAGGGTCGTCTTAAAGTGAAACCGAAGCTGTTTAAGATGTATTAGATTTATTGTTATATAACAACTTCTAAAATACCTTAGTTATGTTACACATTTCCTTTAACTTCTCAGTTTCCCTGGCCTATATTCAAATGTGGAAAAGGCTTGAGGATTGACATAGGAGAGAGATGGAGACAGCAGATGAGCTCGAAAGAGATGGAGAAACACAAGAGGACTGTCATTCGCCTACTGGACAGGCCCATCATCTCAGCAGAGAGAGATTTAGGCTTCAAATTGAAAAAGTAAAAGTGGATACCATGAAATGCTAATTAACAAAAACAAGTTCTGTATCACCCTGCGACCCTGTACGTAGGATAAGCAGTTGACGATGGATGGATGGAAGTTCTGTATCAAATGCCAGAGAGAAACTAATACAACAACAGCAACAGTTGTGACATGTATCCTGGAATTGTGGAGTGTTCAATTGTGTTAGACCACATACACCATCTCCACCAACTAGTTGCCTACTGTTTTTTTCACACACATACCTGCTGCATATACCTGCTGGCACTTCTTACCTAATGTAAGAAGTGCCAGGCAGACACCACCTGCATTGAGGTGGTGTGAATTTGTAATTAACTGGGATAAATTGCACTGATTATGGTGTTAATTGGTATCCACAGGAATAAGTACAGAGCCTCCTGTAAAGTACATACATGTGAACTTGAGGTGTGAACACACATCTGTTTAATTTAAATGTTGTATCTTAAAAAAAATCACTTACCTGGACTCATCTGTTAGTCCCTCAAAAGCATAGCAGAAGGCATTATAAATTCCTTTGCATAAATACATGTACTGTAGTACAATGACAGTCAAAGGACGTTTTGCAGAAGGAGTCAAAGGATGTTTTGCACAGTCTGTGCAGTAAATGGTCATGAATAATTGTTTATAATATGTTATTGTAACCATCCCCTTTGTCAACAGACTTTTTGGACACATCACTAACTTTGTGTAAACACGGATTTATTTGCCCTACCAAATGATGCTTAACATGTAAGAGAGGCAATTAGAATGCAATATTCTTACGACAGCAGGGTCATTTAATCAGGCAAACAAACAAAAAACAAAACAAAAACAAAAACAAAGATTCGCTCAGACTCATTAACTCCTCCAAGGAGGTTATGTTTTTGGTGTTATTTGGTTTGTCTTTCAGCAGGATTATGGAAAAACTACAGGCCTGATTTTTATGAAGCTTGAAAGAAGGGTGTTGCATGGGTCAAGGAAGAACCCATTACATTTTGAAGTGGATCCGAATCATGGGGCAGATACACACATTATTTTTCACTTTTGTTAACATTATGAGACAGGTCAATGTAGGAAAATTTAACAGTTGTAATTAAAGTGAATGCTGTGCCGCAACTAACATCAGAGACAAAAAAAATCACTGTAGAAATAAATGCAGCAGGTATGTAAAAAACAAGCAATCAGGGATGTGATTTTTGTCAGATTAGCCTGGAATTCCAGATTTTCCAACCTGTGCAAAGTACATAATAAATGGATTACATAATCTCAGCTACACCAGGCTGCACTTAACACCATCCTCCCTTACAGAATGGTAAGGGACCTTATTCAGTCTGCCTCTGGATTAAGGACTCCCTGTAAAATCGCTCCCAAAGAGGAAGAGTAGGCCCCTCAGCCTCAGCACTGGCTCCCCTCAGGGCTGCATGCTGATCCCCCTACTCTACACCCTGTACACCCATGACTC